GGCATGCGCGTGGCGCCGCCGACGAGCACGACCTCGGCCAGGCCCGCCGGGTCCAGCTGCGCATCCGCCAGCGCGCGCTCGATGGGGCGGCGCAGGTGCTGCAGAAGCTCGTCACGCGGCTCTTCCAGCGCCTGCCGCTGCGCAAGCTCGACCCCGACCTCGCCATCGTGATGGGTGCGGCCGTGCAGGCCGGCCTGAAGGCGCGCGATGCCGCGCTGGACGATGTCGTGCTGACCGACGTGATGCCCTACTCGCTGGGCATCATCGCGGCGAGCAACATCAACGGCCGCTTCGTCACCGACCGCTTCTCGCCGATCATCGAGCGCAACACGCCGGTGCCGGTGTCGCGCGTGGAGCGGTATCACACGGTGGCCGACCAGCAGCGCCAGATCCTCATCGACGTGCGCCAGGGCGAGTCGCCCGTGGGCTCCGAGAACCTGAGCCTGGGCAAGCTGGAGATCGCGCTGCAGCCCGTGCCGGCCGGCGAGGCGGGCGTGGAGGTGCGCTTCACCTACGACGCCAACGGCCTGCTCGAAGTCGAAGCCCACGAGACGCCCGGCGGCCAGCGCCACGAACTCATCATCGAGAGCCAGGGCGCACGCCTGTCGCCCACCGAACTCGCCGCCACGCGCGAACGCCTGCAGACGCTGAAGCGCCACCCGCGCGACGAACAGGACAACCGCTACCAGATCGAGCGTGCCAAGCGCCTGTTCGAGGACCGCCTGGGCAACGACCGCGTCATGCTGCAGGACTGGCTCGCACAGTTCGAAGGCGCCCTCGAAACGCAGGACGCGCGCGTCATCCGCAGCGCCCGCCAGCAGTTCAAGGAAGCGCTGGACAGCATCGACACGTCGTTCCGGTTTTGAACGCCATGTGGGAACAGGACTGGGCCCTGCTGGGCATCGAGCCGACGACCGAGCTCGCGGCCATCAAGAAGGCCTACGCGCTGAAGCTGAAGGTCACGCGGCCGGATGACGACGCCGACGCCTACCAGGCGCTGCGGGACACCTACGAGCGCGTGCAGCACTGGGCGAAGTGGCAGCGGGACAACGAGGCCGGCGACCCCGCAGTGACGCCGGTGGAAGCCGTCGCCGTGCCGGACGCGCCGCCGGCCGAGCCGGAGATCCAAGAGCCCGAGCCCGAGCCAGCGCCCGAACCCGAGCACGTCGTGCAGCCCCGACACCTCATCGAGGAGCTGGAGCTGCGCTGGCGCCGCAGCGGCGAGCCGGCGCTGATGTTCGGCTGGGACGAGGCGCGCCGCGAGTTGGACCAGCAGCCGCTGAGCCGGCAGGCCGAGTTCTCCGCCGCGTTCGCGCAATGGGTGCTGAACCTGCAGAACCTGCCCGATGAATTCCTGAGGGCACTAGACGCGCACTTCGGCTGGCTCAGCGATTTCCGCACCGCGCGCCAGCTCGGCCCGGAGCTCGCGCAGGCGTTGCACGACGCGTTGGACAGCCGCCTGCGCCCCCAGGCGGTCGACCCCGCCGTGCGCGCGCTGGCCGCGCCGCTGCTCGGCCTGCAGGCATTGCGCGCCGCCCACCGCAGCTGGACCGTGCGCTGGCTGTTCCTGCTGCTGCATCCGCTGCTGGCGCGCAACCAGGGCGTGCTGGGCCCGCCATGGCTGCAGCATCTCGGGCTGGACCTGGAGACGCAGCGCTGGCTCAAGGACAACCTGAAGCAGGCGCTGTGGACGCGCGTCGCGCTGGTGTCGACGCTCGTCGGCGCGGCCTGCCTGGCGATGTTCGGCGACCCCGTCATCGCGGCCGGCCACGGCATCTTCTGGTTGGTCGGCACGGGCCTGCTGATGGCCGGCGGCCTCGTTGCCGGCATGCTGCTGAACAGCGGCGTGACGCTGACGTCGTTCAAGACGCCGTCCCGCTCCCTGGGGCTGCCGCTGGAGCGCTGGCGCCGCAACCGCCTGCAGCCGCAGCTGGGGCTGATCTGGCTGCTGTTCGCCGCCTGGCTGGCCAC